GAGACGCGCGGGTGTCACGGGGGGCGCAGGCGGGGGGCGGCGGCGCCAAGATGTCTGCCGATAGCGGTGGCGTGCCACGCGGCACCGACCCCCCGCGTCAGATCGATATGTACCGGCCTCTCTTTAAATTACTACATTATTTAGTGCAACCATACTGGCCGTATAGTGATCTGACAGTTTGTTTTTTATCGATCATTTTAACGTTCCATTTATAAAAAAGTTTTTAAACTTTCAACCTAAACATAAATAGCGTAGTTGTAAGAAGAGATTATACGACCAAATCTAGATGAATGATGAAATTGTTGTTAGAAAATAACAAGCTAATAAAATACATAAAAATAATTTATATTTAATAAAAGACAAATATTTATTTTGCAGCGATGGAACGTCTCATCAGTTTCTGTATATTACATTTTTAATACGTCTTATTATTTAACAAATTTTTAATACGTCTTATTTTATAACAGTGGTAGAGTCCGCATCCAGCATTTGCTGGTTGCACGAATGGCCCGCTCGCCCGGTGAAATACCACGACCGCACGAAGACAGGCGTGAAGTGGAAGAAATTCCGCGTTTCGTCCTGATGAGTGTGTGTCCCGGAGGCAAACCCCCCCCCCCCCAAAGGCATGACAGTGGGATGTAAAGAAAATCTACCCCAGGGGGGTACCAAAACCAACCGTTTTGGAGAATCCCCTTCCGCGCGTTTACGCCTGAACTCTCGCTTGGAGTCTGGGAGTAAGCGCGCGGGCTGCCCCGCGTATTCTGGGGGGGGCACCATCCCGCTCTGTGCTACTGGTCGGGGCAAACGTAGCAAGCGCCACATAACATCCCCTGCCACACTTTCTGTGGACTTCTGCAATGTCAGGGGACTCCGTTCCAACCTTGAAGCCGTCCACTATCACCTTGAGACGACCAAGCCGGCCTTGCACTTTCTTACAGAGACACAGATATATTCTCCGGCGGACACTTCTTTCCTACACTACCCCGGGTACAAGCTCGAACACCGTTTTTTACCACGGGCTGGGGTGTGCGTGTACGTCCGTGAGGATATCTGCTCTCGTCGCCTCGACCATCTTGAAGGCCGGGACCTATCCGTTTTATGGCTGCGCGTAGATAGCGATGATCATCCGCGAGTCTACGCGTGCCTTTATAGGTCCCATGGCGGAAACACCGATACAGACCAACTCATGGAGCTAGTCCAAATGGGCACAGATTCCGTGTTTGAGCAGATCCCTTCTGCTGAAGTCGTGGTACTTGGTGATTTTAATGCCCATCATGCCGAATGGCTTGGCTCACGTACCACGGATCACGCGGGGAGGTCTGTTCATGACTTTGCCTTAGCATATGATCTAACACAGCTGGTTACCTCGCCTACGCGAATCCCAGATGTTGTTGATCATTTACCTTCCCTGTTGGACCTTCTGCTGACCACGCATCCGGACAGCTATTTGGTTTCCGTCGACGCCCCTTTAGGGTCGTCGGACCACTGCCTGATCCGGACAACAGTGCCAATCTCCAGACGTTTTCGGTCACAACCGATTGGTCTTCGTCGAGTTTGGCACTACAGGTCAGCAGATTGGGATAGGATGCGGTCCTTCTATGCATCCTACCCATGGGGGCAGGTTTGCTTCAATCTGGACAATCCCGACGCCGTTGCTGACTCTATCGCCGATGTGGTACTCCAGGGGATGGAACTTTTTATCCCATCAACTATGGTGCCCAGCGGTGGTAGATCTCGGCCTTGGTTCGGTCGTTCTTGCAAGTTAGCCTTACGCTACAAGCGAGAATGTTACCGTGCCTGGGCCAAAGCGTCGGCAGCGAGGGACCATAACTCCAGCGCGCTTAAAATGAAGTACAACTCTGCCTCCAGGTCCTTCAAAAGAGTAATTGCAAAGGCAAAGTCCGAACACGTGGCCAGCATTGGCGAGAAGCTAGTGCGCCTTCCTTCCGGAACTCGCGCGTTCTGGTCTCTCGCCAAGGCTGTCCAAGGAAATTTCTGTCGCCCATCACTACCATCTTTGCGCAGGGAGGACGACTCGTTGGCCCATACTGCTAAAGAGAAAGCCGATCTTCTGGTATCCCTCTTTGCATCTAACTCGACACTGGATGACACAGGTTATTCACCGCCGATAATCCCTGGCGGTGAGACCTCTATGTCGGAGATCCAGTTCATCCAGAGATCAGTGCGTAAGGCGCTGCTATCTCTGGATGTCAACAAGTCGAGTGGGCCCGACGGTATTCCTCCTCTTGTGCTAAGGACATGTGCTCCTGAGTTGGCACCGGTCTTGACGCGTCTTTTCCGGTACTCCTATTCCACAGGCGTTGTCCCGAAATCCTGGAAGACGGCCCTAATTTACCCGATCCCTAAAAAAGGCAACAGCTCGGAACCGACGAACTATCGGCCTATTGCCATAACCCCTTTGTTCTCCAAGATAATGGAGTCCACCATTAATTGCCAGCTTATGAGGTACCTGGAAGAGCACCAGCTGATTAGCGATCGCCAGTACGGATTCCGTCAACGTCGCTCAGCTGGTGATCTTTTAGTGTACCTCACTCACAGATGGGCGGAGGCAATAGAGAGCAAAGGGGAGGCCCTGGCGGTCAGTTTGGACGTAGCGAAGGCCTTCGATCGGGTGTGGCATAAAGGGCTTCTTTCGAAGCTCTCTTCCTATGGGCTTCCCGAGAAACTATTGGCCTGGATTGCCAGCTTTTTGGAGGGTCGTAGCATCAGAGTCGTTGTTGACGGTGCATGCTCAGTCCCTAAACCAATTAATGCTGGTGTCCCTCAGGGCTGTGTACTGTCGCCCACTCTCTTTCTTCTGCATATCAATGACTTGTTACATCAAAGTAACGTCCATTGTTATGCAGACGATAGTACGGGCGACG